TTGCCAAGAAGAGCTTGTAAATCCTGCGGCTGGCACGCCGAGAGCACGTCCTCCTCGAAGGTGGCCCGAATTCGCTTCGTCAGCGCCGCCAAGTCCCCAAAGCGAGTCTTGAATGCGACTGGGAGAGGGCCAAAGCGAACAGTACTGGCAGACGCCTGAGCGGCCAGAGTAGAGTACGTAGAGGGCACCAAAGACGATGAGTACATGCTATAGGTGACTCGAGAGCGAACAGAAAAGTCGCTCGGAGCCGAAGACACAGGGAGAGGCACAGAAACAGTATCAAGAGCGCCAGGTTGAGATGTTTCGAGAAGGAGCTGAGAAAGATACATCATATCAGGCGAGGACCTATCTTGAGCGTATCCGGTCTCGATGTGCGACTGAACAGAAGGCACTTGAGGAACGGCGTCCACGTCGAAAGGTCCTATAGGATACTGCAACTGTGCAGTCGCCAGATCTATGTCGCCAGATGAATCGGGAGAGCTGTCAACATACGCTTGATGTCCTGCGGGGACGTAAGTCACGGGGAACGCAAGGGGGATGTATCCGAGAGAGGGCGAGCGAGTAGAAGAGCGCATGTTGAAAATGTCGTCCGAGAGGGCCTGTGTCGGGTCCGCAGAAGCCTCGGGGTGCAAGATGGGGGACCTGAGAGGAACCGTGAAAGAAGTACCAGGGTGAGCTACTTGGACACTATTCGGTGTCCCTGAAAGAGCCGGGCTTGGGTGACCTTGGAGGTTCGAGGTGCCTTGATCGCCTGGCTTTGTTCCTTCGCCACTAGGATTCGGGAGCAGGACCCGGTTAACACCTCCCCCATTCTTGGGCAGGGCCACTGGTTGGCCGGCATTTAGAGAGTCTTTAGGCAAAAGGGGCGTCCCAGTGGTGGATTCGGAAGAGATCGAGGCCTCTGCAGTGCTAGATCGGGGGTGTGCACGTTGGTGCACACGCCGCCTGCTGAGCCATTTGCGTATCCACTTTTGCTCTCTGCGCACTAGGCATCAGAGAGAAAATCGCTAACAGGGCAAGGACTCAAGAGAACTCACAAACCGGTCTCTGCGGCAGCTTGTATAATCTCCTCCTTGGGGACGTTCTCCAAGCCCGTTTGCTCACCAAGCTTCTTGAGGATGACCAGCTGCCACTCCGACGCGACCACTCGCTTGACTGCCGACGGGATGAGCGTGCCAACACGCGCCGATGGGGCATGGACTCGAGGGGACGCAGAGCGGGGCATGTCGGTCGAGGTTGATGTTCGCCAGCTCGCCCGCGCCGGGCCCGCGCACGACCCGACTTCGTGGCGTTCAACTCCGTCTCAACTCTCGCGTGACTTTCGATCGTCCCAGCAATACGGACCCGCACGAACGTGTGTCCCGGTAAACTGTTAGTGCATACATCAGAGGCACACACACACAAGTTCTGTATATGTTACAAAATAGTGATACACATAATCCTAGAATCCACGGGGACACCAGATAGCCAGGCGTCCCGCGACCGACGTACATCGGCCACCCACGGGAAAAATTAGATTGGAAAGAGTCAATGTCAGTCCGCGTTGAACTACCATTTTCCTGCAATCCTGCCCACAGCCCACACGAGGCCGCCTCCACCCACGGGCACAAGGAGCGTCCACACGCCGACGTCCCACACGATCCGTCGGCCGAGGCGCCGTCGCTGGAGCGTGCGCTCCTTGCGCTGGAGTAGCTCATCATACCGTGAATCGCTCTCGCTTGCGGTGGCGCGGGGCGTCGCAGGAGTGCTTGGTGGTATGATGATAGACAGCGGCCGGCGGAAGTGGTGTAGGGTGATGTGGATGAATGCTATACAACAACTAGTCACAATATGCGCCTTGTTCACAAAGACGTGAGGCATACCAGGTAGCATATAAGTGCTGAGGAACGCCAGCACGAGTAATACATCGCTGAGGATGCCAAATATAGGCTGCGGGCAGAGGGACAGGAGTACTGTGGCGACAATGACGAGTGTTTTCGAGAGGGGGAAACTGGTAAGGCGGCGCACGGCGAAGGATACAGGGAGCGCTGGAGACGTGATAAGAATAGATGGTATAGCCAGCGATAGCGCAGTGGCGCTAAATATAGCGGTCATCGCGCGGACCGTAAAGGTGGGCGATTGCTGTGGGATGTAGGTCATGCGTCCTTTCAGCTGACAGTAGAGAGCTGGACATACCTGTGGCGTTTCCGGAGAACGGAAGAAAATGAGGGGAAGGATGAGGAGTGCAGAGAGGGCTATAGAAATGAGCGACAGGAGCTTGAACGACTTGGAGCGCTTCTGTTTCGGGAGCCCGGGTTGTACAGCGCCTTTGAGTGCGGCGTACAACGGGATGGTCGACCCAGTAGTAAAAGCAAATGCGACTATGGCTGTGGAGAGGTATTTGAAAATGAGAACAAAATGAAAATGCAGCAGTGGACAGAACGCACGTAATCCGTCCCAGAGCGTTCCCAGGGAGGTTGAACTCGCCTGGAAGGTAAGCATCCCTTTCGCATGCGCATATGCCATGGTGCTCAGCCATGCAATGAATGCCACGATTGAGAGCCAAGTCGCATATATGACCCTGCCGGTAGCGAGCGACGGCGAGAAAAAGAAGACTGCCATGATGAGTGCCAGCGCAAAAGTGACCATGAAATTCGTTGGAAGGAGCAACTTCGCGGGCAGCAAAGGGAGGAGCACATCCGTAGACGCTGCATGCGCAGGTCAGTATTCCGAACGAGAGATACTATTCCAAGATGACTCGAACGCACCCCGAAGGTATACAGCCGCGAGCAATATCCTGAGTAACCCCACGCTCCCTCGCACGACATACCTCAGCCAACGTCGCCTCTTTTCATGACCTCGTCCTCCCGCAAACGACTCCAGTACAATCTCCTCCAAATCTGCGCACCGGATGTACCGCGCTAGCATGTACCAAATTTGTCTCGCAAACGCTGAGAGCCCCGCGAAACCCACAACTGCGATCAATACCACCTCCTTCCTTGTTTGCACGTCCGCCACGAGCATCGCTCCAAGCTTCAAAAATGGTGCGACGAGGTACAGAAAGACGGTGGGTGACGAGAGCGGTGGGACTGGAGAGGCGAGAAGCCGTGCATGCTGGGCGTCCTCGTCATCTTCGTCTTCACTCGAGAGGTCGATGTCGAATGGTCTGTCGGAGGGGTCCCCAGAGTCGGGAACGAGGATGAGTGCGGCCGACGAGTCGTAGTCCTCGGAGCTACGCCCGGACCCCGACGAGCCAGAGCGCGAGCGGGTTGGCGAGGCGGGGTGTGGGGGCGGGGGCGGGGATGCGGGGGGTGAGCTAGTTCTGCTCTGCATCGTTGTAGAGGAATGTATGGGAGTGGGGAGGAAGAAAGGAGCGGATGGGTAGGGACAGAACCAGCCTGGGGAAAGAGTAGCAGACGAACAGCGAAACTGGGGCAAGCGCGGGCTGCGGACGGTCGACGGCTCGACGCATTTGGGCGCCGGAATATGTTCGTGACATATTGGTCCGCTTCCCACGCCGTGCGCATTAGACGCCCAGGAACAGCGTGGCGCCCACCGATATATCTGCTCACAAGACGGGCGGACAAGACCTTTTTTCTTTTCGACGATCTATAGGAGCATGCACCCTCTGTCATCAATTTGTGCACCGTCATTTCGCTCGAAATATAGCCAAAATGCAATGTAGATGGTCCATGTGTTAGATATCCCATAAGATGTATGGGCAGCGCCAGGCTACTAGTCTGACTTTGCCGCCGCCTCACCGGCCTCCTTCGGGGCCTTTCCAGACTGCAGTTCGCTATCAGCAAATCCTGCACGCAGTCAGCAGATTTAGGGTGACAGACCTTTGCGTGCTCCCTAGCATCAGTGACCTTCGACGGTCCGCTGTCTTCATCACTCTGGAGCGTGCCGGTGTGCGTCTCTCCGGGCTTTTCGTTCTGGTCTGGCTTGCTCTCGGCCTCCTCACTCTGGCCAGGCGCGCCCTCTGCGAACTTGCCATCCTTCGCCTGGGACTGCTCACTGTCCTGCGCGTCCTTGGGTGAATCATCGTTCTGTGGGGAAGAAGGTCGATTGAGTTCAGCTGGGGAATGGAGAGAGAAGAGAGCACGTGACGTACGAAAGCCTGCTGCATGGAGGACTTCACCTCCTCCCCTGATGTGGTGTTGTCCTCGTCATCAGTGATGGCTTCGCCGCCATCAGCCTTCGAAGCACCCTGATACAGAGATGAGCAAAGGATAATGCTTCGAACAACACAATGCGCGTACCTCGTCGTCTGAAAGTTTGTGGGTCTCGGGGGAGCCCTCGGTCTGCGCGTTTGCATGAGCCGAATGTCGAACTGGTCAGTCAAAATGTGAGGAGCTTACGGCGGCCTTTTCAATGTTCTCCACCACCTCCGCGCGCTCATCAGGCGTCTCCTCGTCGACCTCTTCCTTGCCAGGAGTCTTGGTGCTAGCCGCCTTGGGGGCATGGTCCTTCTCGTCAGCCTTATGATGAGCAGTCTCCTTGCCCGAGCCTGTGGAGATGTAGGCCGCCTACATTCTACATCAGTAAAACGCACGAGTGACACGCTGTTGCGAGAATAACTCACGAGGGACCCAAAGACGACGAGGGAACCGATCTGGACATGGTCACACAGTTAAGAGGAGCTTCCTCGAATTAATTTCGCAGACTTGCCATCCAAGGCTTGTCGTCGCCGTGGTCAAATTGCTTGTAGTCAATCGGTTTGGTGCTCATGAGCCTCCTGCCCGCCACACTACGGCCGGCGGTGCGCGCAGAGGGTCGCGCGACCTGGGCGAGGAAGCGACGTCCAAGACGGGAGGCCATAGCGTATCTCTATCGAAGTGCCTGCAAAGAGGTTCGAAAGGAGAGTCGTCGACTGATGCCAAACAAGTCGTCGATGTCGACGCGCCCACTCCTGCGAACTCGAACTCCCTGGCCGGGGCGAGCCGGAGTGACGTCGATTGTGGGCCATTTTGCCGAGGTAACCGACGCCATATAAAGCATGCAATAATAAGGTTGATATCGCCCGCCTAGCTCAATCGGATAGAGCGTCAGACTTTTACGGTCTAGGTGGGTTTGAAACCTCCTACCGGTTATCTGAAGGCTGCGGGTTCGACCCCCGCGGTGGGCTAGATTCGTCTTTTTCCTTTACCCTACTCCACACTGCCCAGCAGCTTCCACTTTCAAGTTCCCTCAGGCTTCACCTTCAGGCCCCAGGGCTTGCTGCCCATAGAATCCGTATGTGTGAAACGTGTTCGCTGTTGACCAATGATACTGTTGAATTCTCGATCCTTGCTCGGGTGTGTTCTGCGTGCTGTTCACATCTCGCTCTATCAGGAATCGGTATCGTCGCCATGATTTTTTCTCATGACTACTAGCTGACTCCAAAATTCCACATCTGTGTTCTTTTGCGAAGAGCATCACCAGCACCGCAAAGCAAGGAGGACATATCGAAAGAAGCAGTCTTTCAGCTGTTTTCATAACGGGGGGCGTACCATGTCGCGAAAAACACAGATAGTCGGATCACGGATTTCGAGCGGCGCACCTGTGCCGAGAACCCGAGATTCTCATCGTTGAGGTGGCCGTTTAGGACTCCAAGCCTCAAGTATCGCGACGACGCCTGTGAAGGAGGGTAGAAAGGGCCACTCACCTATGAGACGAGGCAATGCGATCTATATTAGTGTTCTGCGATGCTTCGAGGAGATAATCCCAGCTTGAAACCGAGTCCTAGGCCTTGCAAACAACGTGCCCGGGCACGTCGCCCCGCCTTGCCCCGCCCGTTGCATCTGCTGCGCTCAGCGGGCGCGCCGCTGGCCAGCAGATCGTACCTAGATCCTTCGAACTCCGTCAACTCCGATGTGTGTGGTTTTTGCGACAGGGTACGCCCCCCGTTATGAAAACAGCTGTTAAACAAGCGCTGGCATGGAAGATTGTCGTAGGTGATGGCCCGGTGATACCGGCGGCAGTTGGATGTATCGTCGAATGAGCTGAGTCCACGGCGCGGGCTCTGGGAGTTCTCCCTGTGAGGAATGCACCTTGGCTGTCTAGGAATTCCCGAAGATTGAGTCAATTGAGTCGGTGGGAGGCAAAATCATTGGTTCTCCGTGTAAACTTGCGCTGCAGTGGCCCCCCTCAACTCCGCCTGCGAGCACTCTTCGCGACATACGCGTGCCTGTTGCATGGCTTGTACTACAAGAGGCGATATAGTTCAGCCAGATGCACTCCCCCTTCGACGGCCTGTCCGCAGTCCCGACGCTGTGCACGACGTGGGTACCATATAACGTTAAGTACATCCGCGGGTCTGCCGAGGCTTTCCCAGGGCCAGGGGACTGGTTGGCAATTTGGCCTTGCCTCTGCTGGATGTCTGACTATAAGATGACAGGCTGCTGCAGAGCATGGACTGGCAAGACTACTGATATTGTCCTCCGAGGGCCATGGTTCAGCCAGACCTTTTGAAGATCCCTATCCTACTTCTCGTCGCTTATGCTGGGCACACAACTCTCACGTCTCCCACTACTACCCCAGGGGACGATGAACAAAAGAAGTATGGGACCAAGCGCGACACGGTCACAAAGATGATTTGGATACTCCCCGCAGTCAAGGTACACATGCGTGACTTTCGATTTTCACTTGGTCATGGACTCAACTTCCTACGTATCTCAGACTGCCCTATGGTTCGCGACTCTCTCAGAGGTCGTCGCCATTATCGCTCGTCAAGCGCCCTCAACGGTTCTGCACGCTGTCTCTCAAAGTCTCTGTCATTCACCCTCCAGTGCCGCTCGGATCGGCTTTACCCCCACCTTCCTCATTGGCGTATTTCTCGTCTTCTCTGGCGCCGCCCTCCGCCACTGGTGCTTCAGCACCCTCGGGCCGTATTTCACCTTTCACCTCGCTGTGCGCCCGGGACACGCGCTCATCACATCCGGACCGTACGCGCACGTCCGCCACCCCGCCTACGCAGGCTTCCTCGCTTATGGCGCAGGTTCGGTGTTGTGTCTCTTTGGGCATGGAGCATGGGTGCGCGAGTGCGAATTGCTCCCGACCGTACCTGGAGCTGCGTTCGCTTTTGTTTGGACGGGCTTGGTCATCGCGATCTCGGCGATGTTCATGGGTAGAGGTATGCTGGAGGACGAGACATTGAGGAGAGAGTTCGGCAAGAAGTGGGTTGAGTATGCTCGGCGTACACCGTATAGAATGATACCCTACATCTACTAATAAGACATCCCAACAACGTCCATCGACTATCTAGTGCAATCACTAGTGCCTTGTCACATCTTTCGACCACGGGTGATAAAACAGACTGCCGTAACCTGGTACCATGCGCTCACCTTCACGGACGATTTCTAATCCCCTCCCTCTCTACGTCTCAGCGGTCAACTTCTCCGCCAATGCTGAGCGTGGTTTGATGATACATTTGAAGGGTTCCGGAAAACTGTGCCAGGGATAGAATCAAAAGTATATAATCGTGGGACGACGCTGGACTCACGACACCGATCCGGAAGTCATCTTCGGTTCCGGTCGAATTGGTTGATTGTTCTCATCGAGTGCCGGCATAATATCGAAGGTGTGTAGTATGCAGGCGACATAAATGAACAGGATCAACTCGCTGTAGTATCTCCCAGGACAAATCCTGTCGAAATGAGCTAGTACTTAGCGGAATTATTCGCACCAGGCGAGACGAAACATACCTCCTGCCTGCCCCAAACGAGGCTACACTAGGATCCAACACGCCCGGATTGATTCTTCCATCTTTGAGAAATCTTTCCGGAATGAAGTCCTCTGGTTGCGAATATACCATTGGATCGTGTAATATTGCCCTGAAGAGATCGACAACGAAAGGAACGGTGAGCCAGTGGCTCGGATTAGCTTTCGAAATCTCACCAAATGTTTTCCAGTATCAAGATCCCCGCAGGGATATGATAGCCATTGTACTCATCATCGGCGATACTTCTGTGGGCGGCGCCGAATGGAGCTGCCGGTTGCCATCGCAGAGCTTCCTTGCAGATCGCTTGAATGTATGGTAGGGACTCTCTGTCGGGAAAGTCAGGCAACCTGCTGGTGCCGACAGCTTGATCTAGTTCAGCTTGTGCTCGTTTCTGTACGTCAGGATACAGAACCATCGCCAGAACCAACGAGGTTATGGTAGAGGCAATCTGATCAATATTCAGTACAGGATTGGTGCTGGACAACTGCGCTCACTGTGTCCACCGCGCCTGCAATTCACAGTAAGCAGAGACGCGTTGATCTGGTAGTATATCATACCTGTGTATGCTACCCCTAAGACGTCCTTCGAAACGTCCTCCTCGGCTGCAAGAGCCTCCCCTTCCAAGTGAGACATGCGCTCCGACAGTCTTGCGGCTACAGACTGGCTGGAAGGATCCTTCTAGGAGCGAAACCACTTCAGATGATAACGAGAACAGAAACAAGATTCGTTGTACTGACCGCGGCGTTTGACCATGGTAATTCTTTCATGGCAGTGGTATTCACTCGCCAGTCCGCTGCTTTCTTTTGGAATCCTGCACCAGGTATCCATGCAGGAAGATACTTCAAGAATGGCATGAAATCGACCCAGAAGGACCCGGGTATAACTACCTGCACATGTGCCTCCATGGCCTTCTCGGCGACAATAATGTGTATGTCATTCTTCTCTGCTATCTCAAGACCATACGCAACTGAGAGGATATTTGCTCCGAGCACACTGTAGCATGAGCGAGCTCAATCGACTTGAATGCGAATTTTCCAAGACATTGGAAACGAACTAGTGGATGTGATGCTCAAACTCTTCAGGCTCTTCGTAAAATCGCTTGAGGAGTTGTCGCGAGAACAAACGGATTTGCGGCTTGTATTGCCGTACAGCAGTCTGATTGAAGTGTTGGTGAAATATCCGTCGGCGCCGTCGCCACTTTTGGCCATACTCCATAGCGCCAAGGGTCCAATTCCAACCAATTCTGTGTTAGTTGATTAGCAGTGCGATAAGAATATTGAAAGTCATATATGTGTTCACAAGGTTACCATCTCTGCTTGTAGTCTGTCGGAGTAATTCGACGAACGTTTCTCGAGCAAGTCCACGACACCGCCAAGGGAGTTCAGGACGATCATAGGCATGCCAAAGACACGCATGAATATGACATCTCCTACTCAAAAGATATTATAAAGATAATTCAAGTGATGCAATCGCATACGTACCGTACGTGTCTCTCCATTTAGCATACGTACGCCAGGCTAGATGTGCTGGCACATCTAGGGCATTTCCTATGAATGGCAAGGGCTTGGGACCGGGCGGTAGTGGTGAAGTTTGAGTTGGTACATTGAGACGTATTAGCGATATAGCTAATACCAACGCCGCCACGACGATCCACAGGGCAATACCGGTAGACATCTTGAGTTCCAGCTATGTGTCGCGCCATCGCTTTATGTAGAACAAAGATTCGAGGCCTAGGTTATTTCTGATTGAACGCGGACGAGAAAGGGTAATGTGCATGGGTTGAGCGAAATTGCTTTACACGCACATGCAGGACGGTCATAAGGCCAAGTTCACGTAAAAAGTTAGTATATGAAATTGACTGGACCGACTTACGAAGATGTTCAGAAGCGCACCCACGAGAATGAGATCCAATCACATAGGAAACGGGAGACCGCGGATGAGCGAAGTCCACGCGTGAGTACATAGAACTCGTCAAGAACAATACTGGAAACGCTCGCTGTATCATAAAGCTCGTCGCCCGATCCACTTCTTCATTGCAAATTAATTCCTCGAGGTACGTCGCAATTACGTTATAGACACCTACGCAGGGCCATGCAATTCCAAACTGGATCCTTGATAGACATTATGCATAGCTCCATTCTCAAGAGCTTAAGTAGGGAAGCAGTCTCGTCTCCGGCCATTCGTGCTGCTCGACACTCGCCGATCGGGCACCGAAGATCTCCTGCGCCGAGGTAGCACGAAGTACAGGGTTCCGTCACTTCCGTGCGCTGATCTCTCGAACTCTTTCCAGCGCCTTCCGTGGCTCCCTGATATCTGGCTTGCGAGATTAAGGAGAGGTAGATGTAGAGCTATGTAGGCTTACTTACGTCCGAGTGGAACGAATGACGCCGCTTCGGGAAAGTGGTCTTTCGTTTTAGAACGCACAT